GTAGGGAGGGCTGCACCAGATTAAATAGCCTGGGATTTGTCAAAACTGTTGCTGTGTTTCTGAAGCCATCTGTGATTGTAGAGTCATTTTTTTTTTTTTTTTTTAATTTGGAATAATGAGGGGGAGAGGTTTTCATCAGAATAAAAAGATCAGTCATTTAGGGAAGATTTTTGAAATATGTTTAATCTTTAAAAGAAGATGTAGCCCAAGTCAAAAGTTGAGATTTTTTTTTTCTTTTAAAAAAACCCCTCTGCCTCAGCAGTGTTTCATGCCATTAGCTTTCATGTGTGATAGCAGGTTTAGTATTTTTAAAAAGCAGTTTAAGTTACTAATTTTGGTTTAACATCATTACAGGAGCTTTCAAGCCATGTATACTGCCTTCAGTTTTTTGGAAAGTAAGGAGATTAATCTCTCCCTATTAATCTGAACCACATCTGTAAAGTCATTTTGAGGAAATACATTCAAGTGTTTGAGGAGTGATATGACTCAGTTATAGCTGTACTATCGCTTATACAAATGCGGATGAGATTTGATTAAATTCAACTAGCCTAGAGTTACAAAGACATTCCATATTGAATATTTTTGAATATTGAGGAATTTCCAAATATCTCTAGTTTGTAGTGGAATTTCATGGGGTATTTTGGTGTGCAGAGACACTTGTCAATATTTATATGCTGCGATGATTCCATCAACATTACTAACTTTATCATTAAGTCTTGTGATTTTACAGCTAATATAAAGGTTCAAGTGCACGCTTTAACCAAAAGATCTTAACATGCGTTATAATCAGTTCTTAAATAGCAGTTTAATTGTTTGAATTGTAAGATTTTTGTCTGTCTTATGTCTGAATAAATTGCTTTATTAAATGAGCTGGGAAAAGTGCCTTGCTTACGCATGTCTTGGTAAGAATGCCTTTAATGTGTTTTGTATGGTATTTACGGGAAGTGAAATGTATCTGTTAAGAAAAAATGAAAAGCTGAAATTTCCTGCTATGAAAAACAGTAGCACTGCACTTTTAGCTTAATAGTGCAGAAACAGATAGAGGAATTTCAGTAAAAATCACAGAGTGCTATTTGAGTTTGCTGCATTGCAGCCTGTTGTGGCAGTGTAATAATTTTACCTAAAATTCAAGAAAAAGTCAAAGAATCTAGAAAGTTTTTTTCAAGATGGCAGGAGAAATTACAGTAAAGTTCCTGGGGGGAAAAAAAGGGCTGACTTTTTTTTTTTTTTCTTGCAGGCTGTTCATACAGGTATGCGGGCATATATTTATAGTAAGAATTCTGTTATTGGCTCTCAGGCAGAGCATTCAGGGATGCGGACATACTACTTCAGTGCAGATACCCAAGAGGATATGAATGGCTGGATCCGGGCTATGAACCAAGCTGCTCTTATGCAAACACGCTCTTCACTGAAGAGGCAAGTTCAATACATAAACTGTTAGCTTTTAATTTTTTTTAAATATATTTATATATATATAAAATCAGATTGGTGGTGATTTCTGAAAGTGATATTTATAAATGTGTGCATGAAACTTATTCCCATTTTAAAGAAATCATTCTTTTTAATTTACAGTCTGTTGCAAATCAGTTAACTAACATTTATTAAGAAAACCTGGTGTTCAGTATTTGTTGCTACACACAAATTGTGTGCCCATATTTAGTGACATGCATTTCTTTCTGTATATACATAATTTTTTAGGGAATTTCAGTTTAAAAGTTACAGGTTTTGTGAGCAGAGTCATACACCTGCAACAGGCAACTGGCAGCCTTGAGGAGAGATAAGTAAAAGGGCAAAGACAAAAGAGTAACGAATTGTTTCAAATGAGTGTTTAGAACTAGGATTAAAATGCTGTTAAGAGGGAAAAGAATGTTAAAGATGGGTAAATCTTAAGTGCACAGAGTTATGGGTATTAGCTAATTTATGCAGGTATTAACTGCTTATTTTTTTACTTCCCCTGGTGGCCTTTACTACTTGTAAGAGCTTTTTATGTTTTCCTCAGTGTAGAAAAAAAGCACTGTGACTGAAGGAGGATGTCCTTTGTCCCATTGTTCTTAATTAGTGCTAGAGGCAAATGAATTCAGCTGTGCCTTCATGTGCTTCCAGTTTTTCCCTTTTCTTAAAATTGGTGTAGCCTTCTTGATGTTTTGACTTTGGGAATGTGGTTCTTTCCTTACAAATCCTTGTGAAAGAAGACTCTGTACCGTGAGACAACCCTGCTTTTAACCCTTGGGGCTGTGAGGATTAAAATGTCATAGTGCAGTTTCTCACTACTGCTTGCTTTTGGCAGATCAAATGTAAGCAAAGGATCAACATCTCTTCCAGAGCTTTGCATCCTATATGATTTTGTGTTAAGGTTTTCTGGTTCTAATTTAAATTTCAAATAGCAAGTGTTGTGGTTTAGCCCCAGTTGGCAACCAAGCACCTCACAGCTGCTCGCTCACCCTCTCCCCGGTGGGATGGGGGAGAGAATTGGAAGAGCAAAAGTAATAAAAATCATGGGTTGAGATAAGACAGTTTAATAATGGAAATATAATAGTAGTAGTAGTAATAATAATACTAAAAATAAATTGTAATTAAAAGGAAAACAATAAGAGAGAGAGAGATAGAGAAACAAAACCAAGGAAAAACAAGTGATGGAACTGCTCACCACCTGCTGACTGATACCCAGCCCATCCCCGAGCAGTGATCGCTGCCTCCTAGCCAACTCTACCCAGTTTATATACTCAGCATGATGTCATACGATATGGAATACCCCTTTGGCCGGTTTGGGACAGCTGTCCTGGCTGTGCCCTCACCCAGCTTCTCGTGCCCCTGGCAGAGGATGGGAAGCTGAAAAAATCCTTGACTTAGTGTAAGGCGCTGCTTAACAACAACATCAGTGTGTTACCACATTATTCTCATACTAAATCCAAAACACAGCACTATGCCAGCTACTAGGAAAAAAATTAACTCTATCCCAGCTGAAACCAGGACAACATGTAACCTGTTGCCTGTTTTTTTCCTTGTAAGGATAGGAATAATTGAAAGAAAATTGGGAAAGTCTTGCATGTTAGAAGTATTGATCCAGTGTCCTTCCTCCTAGTAGACTATGCATTTTGAGACACTAAGTAGACTGAAGTGAAAACAATTGTTTCATGGCACTTACTCAGAATTCACCTTCCATAAAGCTTTAAAGAAGCTGAACTTAGTTTCAGAGAAGAGGTGCTACTCCAAGATCGATGATACTCCATTGAATTGTAAGAGCAAAAAAAAGGTTGAGAAGCTTATCACTATAAGGAGATGAAGAAAATTGCAAATTGAGTACATTACGTGTCAAAAGCAACATAAAACTTTTAGAATCCTTAGACACTTCATAATGTGTTATAAGTTTAATATCAAGATTTCTGGTATGGTATTTTTTCAATATTTAGGTGGTAAGGTAAATAAGTAAACAAGTGTTAACTGCAGCATGTATTAGGAGCAATGGAGATTTTTTTTAAAAAAAATTCACTTTTTGCGGCAATCGCCCACAGGTTAGAAATTCCCTGAACAATCACAGCACTCACTCAAATGTAGATATTTTTCTGTCTTCTTGGCCAGAAATGATTAGGCCCTAAGGCATCTACAAAGATATGAAAGATTTCTTTGACTTTGAAATGAGCAGTTGGCAGGTTAGTTTGGGGTTTTTGGCTTTCAGTGTTTCCCAGGATAGGAAGACTTTTTTACAGTTGTTTGTTTGTAATATCACACAAGTTGAACACTTCTTTCATACAATATTAGTATTTTCAGTCATTTTTACAGATGCATAAAAATGATTTCTGCTTCCTTGATAGCACTGTAAGGTAACTTTTGTCTAACTGGGATAACAACTGAGTTTTTCTGCTCATATCTATCTTAACATATTTCTGTCAAATTTATCACAGCCTGGAGAAGGCGCTTTTGTGGGTATCCTTTCTAAAATAGTAACAAGACCACAGCAACTTTTCACAATTAAGCAGTGTTCATTACTGACATGTGTTTTCTTTTCAGAGAAACTGAAAAAGTGGATCAGCAAGCTGTTCCCCAAGTCAATCATGTGGATGCCTGTAAAGAGTGTGTGAAAGCAGAGATTACAGATACAAAAGAAAGTTACCAAAAATCAGCTGAAATTCTTGGATATGAGAAACGTGAAGAGATAAGAAAAGAAAAAGAGGAGGAGGAGCGTTATATCCACAGAAAAGAAACTCTGGAAACTAAGAAGGGAAAGGCTAAGCATGCGTTAACAGAAGCTGATTCATTATTTCCAGACTTAACGAATGCATCGCGGTCCCAACTAGCTCAGCCTCAGCCAGCTGAGAAGAATGGAACGCTTCCTAGTTCATTAAGTATGAGTGCTGGCCTAGTGGAGCAGAATGGTACTGGCTCCTATAAAAGAGGTTTTGTTCCCAGAACAAATCCAGATAAACAGTTTCAAAGAAAAAGTAACATGGCTCAAGTGGAGCACTGGGTGAAAGTCCAAAAAGGAGATACAAAAAGGTTGGTAGTAGGCCCATCTTTAAATAGACTGCCAAATGGCATTTTCTTAAATTAAAGGAAAATATGTATTAGTAATATGTTTAGTGCAAATCAGAATTATATTTTACAGAGACAATATATAATTACTTTCTCCTCCAGTGCAGAATGGTATTTTTCAGGTGTTTATCTCATGGGAAAGTCAATATGGGATTGGCTAATCAAAGCTCTTTAACGTTGTCACTGTACTGCAAATAGAAAAAGTGAGATTAGAGTGCTATTTTTTTTTCCTGTTTTTAATCACTGTGGATGCTTAAAACTCCTTAAAATTTTCTACAATTGAAGAGCCAGAGAGTGAAGTGCAGCCCTCGGTTACCTCATGCATAAAAAACCACACAATATAAGTTATAGATAATAGTTTGTTTTCCACTTAGAAGTAAAGACTGTTGATTTTTTTTTTTTTCCTCCCTTCTGTTCCTGTTCCAAACATCCATTCACTCCTCTATATCAGATCACTGCACTCAAAGTCACAGTGTGTGCGTCACATACTGAAAGGTCTCCATATGCTCATTTAGTTAACGAAGAGGTCCTAGGATGTTCCCATGGTCTCCGTGATTCTCTTTTCCCTTTTCAGACCCTGAAAATTACGTACATTGTACCAAGAGGTAGAATGCATGCTGGAATGCTTTTGTAATTTGAAAATCTCTTAATTGCTTTACTTTCAAAGCGTGCAGTCAGATTAGGGCCCAGCTCTAAAAATTAAGTGATGCATATATGTGTCCGTTCAGAATGTTACCTTGTGTCAAGTGGCAGGAAAGACAGTTGGGCTCTGTGCTGCCTGTAAGGACTTTTCAGATAGAGGTAACCTACTAACAACTACCTTATAAATTTGCTAAAATCTAATTATAATATAGAAGAGTAGGAGACATTAGCATGTGCTTCTTAGGAAGGAGAAAACATTTTGGGCATTTTTTAAATGCTTATTGAAGCTAACATTTGTCATATTGGATCCAGTAAGGAACTTAAGGCTTGCTAATTCTGTTTGGAAGTCCATTCTTCTACTCTCTTGTCTTTGGAATTACCCTTAAATCATACTTTTTGATTTTATTTAACATTCTTCTGGACTGCTAGAGTCAGTTTACTTGCATGTTTTTTGCTTGGAGAGAATATGACTTTAATGAAAAAAGTACTTGGTATGTTAGTTCTTCTTACACACACAGATGTATTAGTCTAAAACAATACAGAAAACTATTGAACTAATTAGCCAGTGCTTAAGAAAACTTCTGTTGCTGTTTTTCACATCAAAAGTATAGGCAATGAACAGGCTTCACTGATAGCTAAGTACTGTTTTCTTCCTAATCACACCTTCCAGTAAATCAGCTTTAGGTGTGTATCAGGTGCAGGGTTAAGATGGTGCTGTTGCCGGTGCCAGCTTCTGTTCTAGATAAAACCAACTACCTCAGCT